ATGCATATAAAAATTAGTAATAAAATGAGAGTATTTATAAATTAATACTGGTTAATACATATTATCATAAAATGAATGAATGAATTACAATTTTGGACAAGCATTTCATCACCTTTACCAATGATATATGACAGTGTTGAATATCAATGAGAATTTTCTAAAACCCAAAGTAATAAAAGGGATGTGTGTGTATATATATTTCTTACATATTTATATTTTATTACAATATTTAGAACTAAGATAATGCAAACAGACAAAATTATATATATAAATAAGTCAAAATTATATATATAAGTAAGAACTGCTGACATAGAAAAATGTTGTCAATATATTTTGGACTTGTTCCAAGAAGGGAACAGTCCTTGGAAAGGGACATCATGCTTGGGAGGGAAGAGGGGCAGTGAGGAGAAGACGACCCTGGATGAGACTGGGGTAATGAGAGTAGGTGTGTCAGAAACAATGAGATTGGCACAGGATAGAGCAGGGTTCAGGGCTGTTGTAAATGGGGCTGCTATAAGTCACAGGCAACTCAATGGCATATAACAACAAAAACAACGACATTCAAAGTGCTATCTATGGTGGCAATATATTTTAAATAGAAATTATATGAATATGAACTGAGGAGGATATGTAATGTAAATATAACAACACATAAAAATAATGGCAAAGAAATATTTCTGAATAAGGATTATAAGTATTCTATCACAAACATTATCCATTAAACCACAGCTTAAAAGTACATACTGTGAGCTCATAATATATTAGACAATGTATAATAAGTGAGTTGTCATCAAGTCAATACTAATTCATGGCAATCCATATGTATCAGAGTAGAACTATTTAAGGCTTTAAAAGGCTGAGTTTTTATATTTCAATAGCTAGGCTATTTTATGAAGTGTGTCTGGATGGCCTTGAACCACCAACTTCAGCAGTCCAGTGCATTTAACTGTTTATATCACCCCAGAATCACAGAAAAACATCTAACATAATCAAAGAAGTAGGTAAGAAAGTGACCAATAAGCTCAGAAATTATACATTCATTTGTTTCAAAAGGCATTAAAGTAATTAAAATGAGCTATTAGAAAGATATTGTTTTATAATATTATATTTTAAATAATATTGTTTAAAACATTACATTTGTCTGTGTGGAGCATAATAAACTATGGTTAACACTGAGAAGAATGGGAATCCCTGAACATTCAATTATGCTCACACAAAACATGTATCAAGGCCAAGAAGCTGTTGTAAAATCAAGAAAAGACTGTTAGAAATGTATCCTTTCTCCATAAATATTCAACTTGTATGCTGAGAATCTCACTCAAAATACTGGACTCAATGAAAAAGAATGAGGCATCAGGACTGGTGGAAGACTCACTAACAAATTTGTATGGAGATGACACAGCCTTGCTTGCTGTAAGTGAGGAGGACTTGAAGCACTTGCTGCAAAAGATCAAATACTACAGCCTTCAATGTGGACTGGACATACAGCCTTCATTATGGATTGCATATCATTGTCAAGAAAACAAAGATTCTTACCACTGGACTAATAGGCAGCATCATGATGGATGGAGGAGACTGAAACTGTCAACTGCTTCAACTTGCTTGGTATCAGCAGTCAATAAGAAAATAAGCAGTCAATAAGGAGACACACTGCACTGGAAAAATCTGCAGTTAGGGACCTTTCCAAATTATTGAGTTTGTTATTTATTATTATTATTAATAATTATGTTAGTTTGAAGACTAAGGTGCATCTGATTCAGGCCATACTCTTTCCAATCATTGCTATGCATCTGAGAGCCTGACAATTGAATAAGGATGATAGAAGAATTGATGCCTTTGAGCTATGGTATTGGAGAAGAGCACTGAACATCCCATGGATGTCCAGGAGAACAAACAGATATGTCTTTGAGAGGGTGCAGCTAGAGTACTTGAGTACTAGAGGCAAGAATACTTTGGGGATATTGCTAGGAGGGACTATTCTTGGAGAAGAACATGATGCTGGGAAGGACCACCAAAAGAGATAAAGACCCTCAACCAGGTAGACTGACATGGTGACAGCAGCAACAGGCTCTTGTATGTCAGGAAGTGTGAAGATGGCACAGGATAGAAAAGATCTTTGGTTCATAGGGTCACTATGAGTTACTCAACTCAATGGCATCTAACAACAACAACAAGAACACTGAACTGAGAGGCAACATCCTGATACACGGAGAAAAGGCTGAAACTGTCAACCATCTCATCTTACTGGGATCCACAATCAACACCCTTAGTACCACGAGACAAGAAAAATAAAAGATGTGTTGCAACAGAAAGTCTGTAGTCAGGGACCTCTCCAAAATACTGAGGAGCAAATAAATCATATTAAAGACTAAGGTGCACATGATTCAGGCCACAGCCCTTTCAATCACTTGTTATACATCTTAAAGCTGAACAATGAATGAGGATGACAGAAGAACTGAAGCCTTGGAGCTGCTGTGTTAGAGAAGAGTAGTAAATCCCATGGTCTATCAAAAGAGCAAGCAGTTATAGCTTGGAGAAAGTACAACCAAAATGCCCCTTGGAGGTAAAGATGATAAAGTTTTGTTTCACATATTTTTGGCATGTTGTTAGGAGAGGCTATTCCTTGGAAAGGTGGGAGATCAGTGAAGGAGAGCAATACTCTCACCAAGACGGTTTGGCACAATGACTGAAACAATGAATATGAGTATGTAAAAGATGATGAGGATGGTGTAGGCTAGGAGAGGTTCAAATCTGTTGTTCATAGGGTTGCTATTAGTTATACATGACTAGACAGCACAAAATGACAACAAAACTACAGAAAACTATTAAAGAAATACACGAGGATACTAAGGTGGCTAAGCACAACCCAAACTGTTTATTTATAAAGCTACTGCTTTACACACTGCAACAGGATTTTAAATAAGCTGGCTTCTCACACCAAACCGGTGTGAAAAACAGTGTATATGAACTCTGTAAGTAAATCAGTATAAAATAGAAATTTTCTAGAAAAACACAAAAACACTATGTACAGGAATGATTGTATGAAATGTATTGTCAAGGAAAATGTAATTTTTTTAAAAAGGCTTGCAATATAGATGCATTTCATAGACTAAAGTCTGAAATTATAATACAGCCACAATAACCACCTAATCTCATTCAAATAGACATCGTTATTATATTACGATTACATGGAACTGGTCAGCAGTTTGGCTGCTATCCAGAGAAAATGAACCAATTAATTATCAGTTACAACGTAGTTAACCTATAATGTGGCTTAAGCATGGTTATTAAAATTCTCATTCAATTAAAAAATTGGTGGGGGAGGGGAAGCAACCACACCCCAGGCTTTCTAAATTCAGTGACTCATTATTCAAGTCTAGATCTTTGCCATTAGTCAACATGTCTACTACTCATTATCATGAAATATTAATCTCATTATCATGAAAGCTTTTAGTAGGACTGGCTGAACTGCACACTGAGGAAATGCAAACCAGAATGAGAAGTTTCTAATTTTCTGTGTTTTCTAGGATTTTTAACAGACTCTACTATACACAGGAACTTCTGATGGCCAAAAGGGAAAGAGTGTGCTGACAATTCTGTGGTACCTCACAGGTTTGCTGTGCAGACTGCCTTCTGTAGCTACCAAGTAACTGTTTATTTTGTGCTGAAATATTTATTGTATTAAAGAGAAAGGATTAGAGTGGGTTATAAGCCCCACCCTACCAGGGACTTAAATTGGCCATGAGAGCAAAATGCTAGTTCTTTTTTTGGAGATGTGCACTTTCCAGCTACAGTGCTGCTGACAATCTACAACACTCAGCAATCTCTGCACAACAGGCCTGCACACCAACAGGCATGTGAGTCCTCCCCAACCTGAGTTGAGCCTTGGGGAGACCTCCAGCGAACCTATGAACACAAGAGACATAGAGCAGTGAGGGCACCAAATGACAGAGACACTGCTGATGTCAGGAATAATGAAGTTAAACAGCAAATCAAACATTGGGGACAATGGTAACTCTACACTTCTTATAACCTGTCTGCTACTAATCTTAGCACAATGAATTATGAATACAAACACAAAGGCACACAGTTCAAATCCACCAACAGCTCTGTGTGAGAAAAATGGGACATCACACTTTATAGCCTCTGATAACATGATGAACAATAAGCTATGAGTCACATGATAACAGTATATATATGCAGAAGCAACACATTGATGAAAAAATTAAATTATACTCTCTACCTGTAATTTCTTTTTACCTGTAGCAGTTTGCTCCATACATGCAGGAAGTTCTTTTAGCCTTGTCTTCTTGTGAAATGGACACTGTCACCTCTGTATGTAAAGTTTCAGGATCAGGGGGATTAGAGCCAGCCTCAGGACAACATGCTTGGAACTCCTTGTGGGATGAAGTACCCTGGATCCTTTCACAACTCTCAGCAGAGCTCATGACCTTGTCTTCTTTATTTGATGTTTTTTGAGTGTTGAGCCTCTGTTCAGAAACTATCTGATGTTCTTGTATAGGGATTTCCATTCTCCGTGTCTTAGTATTAAATTTATTCTCCTTGTTGCTATTTAATGTTATAACTAAAGATGATTGTGACATTTCCTACAAAATAGATCAGAAATAAATATTTTTAATAAATATAGAATTCAAAAGATTGAAACAGTGAGATTCATATTATATTTTTATAAACATGTATTTTTAAAACATCATTATTTACATAAAGGTTATAGAAAACAACCATTATTTGCTATATTTGTACTCTGGGAGGGAATTTTAAATTTTTTCAGTTATTAGAAAAAGGATTGATATTTAAACCAAACTTTGCTATCATGCTAACAATCAATAAAAATGAATCAAAAAGCAGTATTATTCATCAATGGAAGAACAAGAAAACAGCCCAAATGTCCAACTACAACCAAATGGATTGAGAAATTGTGGTACATTCACATGATGGAATACTATGCAGGACTCAGAAACAACAATTTTAAAAATACTACATAACCTGGGAGAGACTAGGGAGCATTAAGCTGAGTGAATTAACTCTGTCTCATAAGGACAAATAGTGTGTAAGATAATTATGATAAAAAGAGAAAGATAACTAGTAAAACATGTATGGAAACCTAAGGGGATTGAAGGGGTGGGAGCAAAGTGATGAGGATGAGCAGGGGCGAAATCACAGAGATACACAATTTGGTGGGTGGAGAGAGTGGTAAAGAAAATGAAAAAGATTTACTGGGAATCTGAAAAGATAGGGTACTGGTGGGCAAAGTCCAATGGTGATTAATTTTTAAAAAAATATAATGAATGGGAATGGTCATATGAAACAGTCAGAATTTATGAAAAGTGAATGAAGAATAGTGTGAAACACAATGTACATAAACTTTGTAAGCAAACTAATACAAATTTTTTTTACAAGCATAAATAAAGACATGCAAGATTGTAAGACTGGTTTTTATTAAAAATATAATTTTTCCACTAAAAGACTGCAAAGGTTATTAAATATCATTGCTTTAAACTGTAAATTACTTTTAATATGCACCAATTTCCAAGATAAATTGATCCAACTAAATGTGAAAATTACCAAACAATATCATTACTATCATATGCAAGCAAAATATTTCTAAAAATTATCCAAAAACGTAGAAGCATACATTGACTCTGCCAGAGGTTCAAGCTGGATTGGACATAGGCTATGGCACTCATGATATTACTGTTGAGATCACATGGCTCTTGGCAGAAAATAGAGAATACAAGAAGGATATCCATGTATGCTTTTTATTGACTATGCAAAGGAATTTCACTCTGAGCATCACAAAATAATATGGCTAAAATTGAGAAGAATGGGACCCAAAACACTTAATTGTGCTCATATGAAACCTATACCTATATCAAGACGCTATTATAGTAACAGAGCAAAGGAACACTGCTTAGTTTAAAAATCAAGGAGGATATCCATAGGGATGTATTCTTTCCTAACCTACTCAATCTGTATGCTGGGGGGGGGGAACTCATTAAAGAAGCTGAACTTTAAAGAAAAATGTAGCATCAGGATTGGAGGAAGAATTATTAACAAACTGCATTTTGCAGAGGACACAACTTGCTTGCTTAAAGTTAAGACAACTTCAAATATTTGCTGCAGATGATCAAGTCGAAGGACTTCAGTCTTCAATACTGACTACATATCAACATCAAGAAGACAAACAACCTCACAACTGGACCAGTGGGAAACGTCATGATGTTCTTAAGTGCCTTTGAGTCACTTGCAACTCATAGCAACCCTATGCACAACAGCCCTAAACCCTGCTCTATGCCCGTGCCAATCTTAATGTTTCCGACACACCTATTTCCATTACCCAAGTCATTGATTGAATCCACCTCATTGAGGGTCTTCCTTTCCTGTGCTTTCCCGCCACTCTCCCAAGCATGACGTCCCTCTCCAAGGACTGATGTGCTTTGCAGTATGGACAAAGTAGGTCAGATGAAGCTTCGGAATCCTTGCCCCCAAGGAGCAACCTGGCTTCACCCTCTCCACGACGCACTTCTTTGTTCTCCAAACAGTCCATGATATACCCTTCTCCAGCACCACAGCTCAAAGGAATCAATTTTACTTCTATCATCCCTAGTCATTGTCCAGTTGTCTGAACATAGCAAGAAACTGCAAAGACTATTGCCCATATTAGGCGGACTTTAGTCTCCAGATTGACATCGTTCCTCTCTAGTACCTTGGAGAGGTCTCTGACAGCAGACTTTCGCAATGCAATTTGTCTTTTATTTTCCTGGCTGCTGGTATCAAGAGTGTTGACTGTAGAGTCAAGCAAACTGAAGCTGTTGACCATTTCAACGTTTTAACCATTTATCATGATGATGCAAATTGGTCCAGTGGTGAGAATCTTTGTTTTCTTGATGTTGAGCTTCAATCCATAGTGAAGGCTGCAATCCTTGACCTTCTGCAGTGAGTGCTTCAGGTACTCCTCAGTTTCCACAAGCAAGGCTGTGTCATCTGCATAATGCAGACTTTTGATGAACCTACCTCCAATGCTGATGTCATATTTCTCCTCATAGAGTCCAGCCTCCCGGACAACCTATTCTGCATATAGATTGAAAAGATATGGAGATAGGACACATCCTTGGTACACACCTTTCCCATTTTGGAACCATGCAGTATATCCTTGCTGTTTTGACGACTGCCTCCTGGTCCAAGTACAGATTTCGCATAAAGAATTAGAATTATCAACACTTTTATCTTACTTGAATCTACAATTAACTACCAGGCAAGAGATAAAAAGACATGTTACATTAGGAAAGTCTGCTGTCAAACACCACTCCAAAATACTAATGAGTGTTTTTAAAAGTTTTGCCATTTTTGCTTTCTCAAAAGGTTGCAAATAGAGATACCGTTTGACCCAGCAATTCCACTACTGGGAATATATCCCAAAGAGACCGTAACTGACATCCAAGCAGATATATGCACATCCATGTTTACTGCAGCTTTGTTCACAATAGCA